ATATTTAAATGTATGTATTTGATATTCAAAAATGAATATAATTTAGATATTTATTGAATTAATAAACTAATCCTTATGATTATTCATTTCATATTAAGTGAACGAAAGACTTAAGATACGAACTTGTATTGAAACAGTTTTGTTTAACATCAAGAAATTATTAAATTAAGCTAATACAAATGAACGTATTATAATAAAATACGTCACAATTTCAATAAAAAAAAGAAGTAAAAGTTATGTTAGTTCCAAAAATATCAACAATGCAGCTCACCAATCTAAAGATACATAGATCCTGAAAACTAAAGTAAATTGTTGTGGATTTGTTTCTTGACTATTTGATTGTTACATCAGTCGTAAATTATTTTAAAATAACCGCCAACATTATGCTGAATCGACACTATATTGTTTTTGCCGGGTTTTCCTGCTGTTACAGACAAGATATTTGCTGCCGTTGGTGGTGGTGGTTAAAGAAACAAAATTGTTGGATTTACCAGTTTATAGACTCGGTATAATTGAAAATAGAAAATCAGCTTTTTTAACCGACTTCCAAAATAGGAGGAGGTTATCAGTTCGTCGGAATATTTTTTTTGTTTGTTTTTTTTTATGTATGTTACCGCATAACTTTGGACCACGTCAACCGATTTCGATAATTCTTTTTGCATCGGAAAGGTAGTGTCTCAGAGGTGGTCCCATACTAATCTGGTTAAGATCCGATCAGCGGATCATGAGATATATATATATATATATATATATATATTTTTTTTTTATATGGGAGTTGAAGTCGGTTTTTTTTTTTTGCTAAAAATTACTAGTCTTGTTTAAATCTGCAGTTTGTTGGTCCAACGTTGGTTAATTTGCAGAAATGTTTCGGTCGGACTCTAGGTTCAATTTAATTTTGCAGCCTTTGGTTTTGAAAGCGTTTTCAGTTGTTAATTTTTTTGGTATTTACTAATTAATTCAGAAAGTTATTAGGTTTGTTCGTCGAAAATCCAGCAAGAATTATCCAACACTCAAAATATCAGAGAGTAAGAAAAAATTCTCTCAAATTCTCTCTCATGTTGAGAAACTTGCAAATTTCTGCACGAATGCAAATTTGCAGGAATTTGCAAGTTTCGCTGCCAGCTGGCGTCCACGGTTGCATTTCAAACATAAAAAATTTTTATAGAATTTTTAAAATTCTTTCGGATGGCCAAAAACAGGATATACATGTATATTTCTTGTTGTTCTGACTTTCTTTAACATACATTTCAATTTCTTCATCGTACTAGCTGTCGGGTTTCTTAAATCGACTCTGGTTGCAATTGCATTCCGATTGCGAATACCATTTTTTTCAGCCGAATTAAGTTCAAATCATTGGAATTAACTAAATTAATTATATCAACAATTATTTACTTCCTTTTTTCATAAAAAAATCGCTCGTGTTTATAAATTTTTAAATTTAACGAACTAATTTATTCAAATTATTGTGGACAAAAATGCAACCATGCGCCACAACCACATGTTTTTCGTGTTTGCAAATTCTTGCTGGCAAAATTTTTTCCAGCAAGAATTTGCAACTTCTCTCCAAGAGAACTGTCACTTTGCTCTCACAATTTTTGAGTGTTGGATAATTTTTTGGTCTGCACGAACGCGATTTGGGCAAAAATCGTGATAATTCGTACAAATTCGTACAAATTTTTTGCTCGACGAACAAACCTATTGTGTCGTTAAATATTTCTCGAAAATCAGGATCGCCAATATATCATTTATATGATATTTTAATAACTAAATATATTTAGTTTAAATTTTAAGTTTTTATATGTTGATCATGGTTATTAATAATCAAAAATTTTCCTTTCAACTACAAACAAATTCATAGAACTATAAATTGAAAATCAAGAATTTAAACAAGTATAAAAACATACAAGTAAAATACCCTACACATATGTTAATCGTAAATCCTGTTTTGTTTGTATAACATGTGTTTGTTTTTGAACTTTCTAAAAAGAGAAGTATTTGGGCTAAGCAGTTACTTAATTTTGAATGATTATAACTTTTATAAGATAATATTTGTTTCACTAGTGGTATTCATCTAAACCGATAACTTTATCAAGCTGATAATCTTATAAGTTTATGCACTCTGTTACATGAACGACCCACACTCTCTTTTCGTTTACACATGCGACAATAGTCGTGTTTTCTTTGGTTATAAAGCGCAGTGTCACTAACTTTATACTACTAGCACGGGCATAAAGAAATTATAGAAACTACCTCACTAAATTGGAAAAAATTAAATTTTCGAGATATCTATTTAAATAAATGTACATATAACATAAAGGCTATTTATTTGAAGCAAGTTATAAGAAACAATGGCAGAATGTCTGGTTGTGTATGAATTCATTTATCACGGCTACCAAACTTTGCGAATTATCAGTGAAACAAAACAAACAGACGGGATAATAATTGACCAGATCTCTATCAGGATCATATCGTTGTTGAATTTGCGTGCAAAATTTGTATGCGGATCCCGATTATTGCCTAAGAAAACATAGCTAGAGTTGCGATAGAGTTGCATTGTCTTCAGTTTATCAAGTTTATTCAGTGAAATCGCTGGATAAATTTATCAGAAATGTGTAAACGAGTTTCCATACAAATTTTGACAGTTCATTTATAAGGTTTACACAATTATAAGTTTATACGGTTTACAATGCATTTATAAGGTTTGATGAATACCCTTACTATGATCCTGTAAAACAAAGCAACCTAACTGATTTAGCGCTATCGATAGTGCTATCGATAGTGTTTTTTTCGAGACTATCGTGAATATTGATAGTTTTTCTGAAAACTATCAAAACTATCGATGGTGTGACTATCGATAGTTTGAAACCTCTATTGCATAGGTCATAATACGAATTTCACTTTCGGCCTTAGTTTCGATCATATTTAGCTTTTGTTCTCGGTCTCTACTTCTTTTAATTTGGGCCTTTTAATGAGCTACGCAGGTTATCGAAGATCGAAAGTGAAATTCGTATTATGAGCTATGCAACCGTGTCGAAATTTTCGTTGAGTATCGAATTTTCAGTCGATCAGACTTTTGCTTTTTGACTTTTGGAGGCTAGACACTAATTTTAAACAAATTTTATTAGACTGGGCTCGAATCGTCACATACGATATCGTATACTCGTCACGTAAAAACACATTTTCCGGATTAAAACATACGTGAACGTACTTATTGTCCCATTCAGGGGTCGAATCGTGACAGACGTGATAACACTCGAAGGCGAACGAATCGCTATTTAGTCTGTTCCAATAGCAGTCCGGTTTACAGGATTTAGTCAGAACTTACAGGAAGTCGTTCCTATTGACATAAAATCTGTAAGTGGGAACACTTTTGAGAGAGTAACGGAGCGACTGTTCCCAGTCAAAAGTTACAGGATTTAGTCCGGAGTTTTTTTTCCAGTAAGTTCATGAAAAGTGTCAAACGATCAGCTGATTTGCATGTGCAAACAAAAACAGAAAGCGGTCAAAGCAAAGAACCTTATATTTGTGAAAAAATGGAAGTAAACAAAGAAATATTTGAATATGTATAGATTTTAATAAATAGTTAGTGATATTTCAGCCAAATAAGTGTTGTGCCAATGACATGTAAACAAAACGTCTGACGTTTTTACAGGAAATAGTGCTTTTTGCGTTCCCGTGCACTTCGGCATCTGTTCTCCTTTTACTCTCACTTGAGAGAGTAAAATTGTAGTTTGACAGTTCCACAGGTTTTAGTCCGAAGTTCAAAGGAACAGACTAATTGTTTATTTGGTTATCGATTATTTTTCTCTTCTTCTTCCTTTTTTAAGTCACAATAGACATTGAAGTGTCAAAATAAGTGAAAAGTAAATAAAGAAAAGCGGCAAAACTAAAATGGATCCGAGACTTTCATTTTATTTAAGCTCTAGCGAAAACGAAAATGACGAAAGAGTTGTGCGTAAGCAACTTCGGGACAGAAGCAATCCATTGGCATTATCCAACAACGCAGAGTAATTGATACATAGGAAATAAATTACCTTCTCTACTCCTATACTTGCAGATTCATCAAAAGATTTCGGTTAAGCAAGGAGGCATTCCAGTATGTTTTACCGAAAATAAAAATAAACTGCCATTACGCAAAAGCCGTTCCTGCTGTTTTGCAATTGGATGCAAGTCTCTCGCTCCTTGCAAGTGGTAGCTATCAGCACACAGTTGGTAGTGATTACCCGATAGGTATGTGCCAGAGCACGGTATCAAAATTTACGTCCAACGTCTTAAAAGAAATGGAAAGCAAATTATGTCCGGAATTTATAAAGTTCCAGCCCAACGAATCTTCAAGATGTAAGGAGTGGTTTGCGGAAAAATATAAAATACCTGGAGGTAAGAAGAGGCGTTCTAATGAAATGCGTAGTAAATCCAATGCTTTTCTTTTTAGTGGTTGGATGCATAGACGGAACACACATTGGATTACAAAAGCCAATTAGAGACGAGAACATGTACTTCAACAGGAAAGGTTACCATAGTTTTAACGTTATGCTAGTAAGTTTCTTTTCTTTCATTTTAACATTTTATTACTAATATTCCGTTTGCCAGATTTGTGACCACACTTGCAAGATTCTTGCAATAAATTGTCAATATGGAGGTGCAGCCATGACTACGCATACTTCCAGTCCTGCTGTTTTCTCAAGGAACTCCTTAGCTGGAGTTAAACCCTTTTCCTGAAAGGGTCCACCATCTGTCCGCCGTTTGGAAGCCTTGTTAAAAGAAAGCTTCCTCTTTGCGTTGTATTTCTGATCAGCGAAAACTTAGATTAAAAGAAAGTTCGTTCATGTTTACTTTCATTAAAAATATCAAAACCTACTTTCTTCCACAGCTTCACATCCTTAATTGGCGGCCCTACAACATTTAATTGTTTGGTGAGGTTTTCCCACAAACGGTTGGCCGTTGCTTTTCCCTGCGAGCAGTTTGGGAGTAAATTCTTTGCCAAGTCAGAGTGTTCGGCCATGAACTCCGCCTTGAGTTCCTTCTGCGTAGAGTTTCATTTATTGTAGTTGGTCCTAAAATAAGAAAAATAGCTATAAAGTGTATATGTTTGCACAAATTTTATAATTACTTACATTAGTACACAGTAGTACCAGCCGCGCCAACTGCCACTGCATCGGTGACAACAAATTCAAGTCATCAGCAACCGCAATATATTAAACATGCTCGATCATCGCCACGTCCGTCCCAGTCGACCGCTCCATATCCATCGCCAACGTACCATCACAATTATAGCAGTAGCCCGAATACGTGCATAAGCAGCAATGGCAACGGCAGTACCACTAGCAACACATGCAGCAATCAAAGCAATTCCATCATACCCAATAACAGTGCCAACAATATGCTCCAGCAACTGTCTCAACAAAATGTCACGGTGACGGCGCATAACAGTGCCCATCACAACCAGCAGCAAGAACATCAACAAGTACCGGCAGTAACTATCACGCCAAATTATCCAAGCCATCAGCAGCAACAACAGCAATCGCAACTGCAGCACATTCATGGTCATCAGCAAACGACGCATTCAAACACTGCCGGCGCTATAGTGACACTCCCCACCACACATATAAACCACCTACCGCAACAGCAACAACAGGCATCTCATCACCATCAACAGCAGCATGCACAACATGTAGCAGTTGCCACAACAACTAAGCACTCACCGAACTCACCAAATAGACGCACTCGAGGCGAGAACAAGAAGTGCCGCAAAGTATATGGTATGCATCGTCGTGATCAATGGTGCACTCAGTGTAGGTGGAAGAAAGCTTGTAGTCGATTCGGTGACTGAAAAAAGGCCCAAAGCGTCGGCGACCACGGAAACGGCGGCGACGGCGACAGCGACAGCGACAGCGGTAGCAGCGAAAATTACTTCAACAGCAACGACAGAGCTAGCAGCGGGAGCTAAATTAAAGTCTCTAGCAATAGATTTGGGAAGCACAGAAACACAGGTAGCGTCAACCTATTTCAATACAAAGTACAAGCGAACATGCTGCAACTATAATCTTGGCCATAATTCCACCAGAAATACTATTAATAAATACAAGTGTTCGGCAGCTTCTGTACCAGCAACTGCCGTAGCCACCTCCGTTATTGTGAAGCCACTAAATAATTTAAGTAAAATCTCTGCTAGCAAGAACTATCAAAACACTGCCAGTGGCAGCAAAATTATCCATGCGCCGTTGAGTGGCAACCATAAATATGGTGCAAACACGGATGCTGATGTACACTTGCAACTGCAACAACAAACACAGGTTGTTACAACTGCCAATAACAGAAACATCAATATCAACAATCATTTGCTACCCGCTACAGTCTCAAGCGCTGAACCGGATGTGCGTATGCGAACGTCGCTGCCAATACAACTCTTTCCTTAAGTACCCACACCACCACAAACACTACAAAACATAACATCCTTGCTGCCCTCAAAGTCGAGTACGAGAACGACGATATGACAGCCGTGAAAATCACGACAACAAAGAACATTTTTATTATGAACGCAAAATCGGCTATGTTCTTTAACATTTGTTGTACATTTTATCAACATTTTTTTATTTATTTAAGAAATGACTTACAATATTTGGCTTTTTTGTTATTGTTTATTTTTTGTTGCCTTTACTTATTTTAATAATAATTCAATTTATTCGCCTCAAACGGCAATTTTACACTATAGTTTAATTTTATGGAATTAGAAAAATTTTTCTTTACTATTATACTTACATATGTATAATGTACATATAAATATCTATACATACATACATTACATATGTAGTATACATATAAAAAACTATATACATAAAATACATACGTATAGTATTAAGAATTTCAATCTTGCGCGGCTACCATTATCCATCTATAAGCGTTAACAGACAAAATCCATTCAGGACACAGTTGAATAAAATAAAATAACGATCTAAAGCTACAATAACATCAAATAGTATACATACAATTTAAATATATGTAAACGTAAATAATTTTAATGTTTCAAGCAAGTTTGGATCTGTTAAATATACATATTAAAAATAGACAATGTTAATAGATAAACTAAACCAATAAATATGTGTGTATGTTGCATAAGTTCATAGATAGATATTTAAGTATTACTTGTATTAATCATGATAATCATAAAAACGGCAATGTTTAAGTTCAGTTAAATAGAAAAAATGTTAAAACAACAGAAAGGAAAGAAATTAAACGAGAAAACAACCCAATCCAAACTTTTGGTTGGAAATAAAACTTAAAAGAGGTTGGAAATAAGTAACTTTATGTCTGCATGCACACAAATTAATATAACAATAAACACCATCAAGTGGCATCTAAACACACGTGCTTCACTTGCAAACTTTTGAAAAGAAGGCTCCCCTTTTAAAATAAAAGTGTTGGCATATATGTAAGTGGATTTTCGTTCATCACACTTGTATATACTACATACATACATACTTAAAATATCAGCATACTAGAATATGCCTATACGTACATAACATAGTTGATATTTGCCATTTTTTAAGAGTACCTAAAATGGAATGAATTTTGTACCTTTTTCAACAAAAAAGTATCCTTACATTTGTATGTACTATTCTATTTCACTAAAATCGTTAATGAGATCTTATATAAGTTTATTAGCACATATGGGTTTGCGTATAACAAATACGTTTATATTAAATTTACATGCATATACAATAATTTTTGTAAGGAAAATGGTTCAAACAAAGAAACACATCCTCATCGATTGAATTATACGCTAAATTATAATTATGTATGTGTTTAAAAAAGATAAATTAAATGTGTTAAATTTTTACAGAGTACGAATTTCTTTGTCTAATGTGACATCAGAAGACAAACGGCTGACGTGCTTTATTGAAAAATGCGCCATTTTAATTAGTATTGTATTGACATGTTGGTGAGCAATCTGCATTCGAAAAAGTGAAGGAGTGTTTTGGACAGGATTTTTACAGCTATTTTTTTTGTATTTTAAAGCAACTCCAATCTAGTTTCCAATGCTCATTCACAATCAGAGCACTTATTTTTTGTAATTTTTTTACTTCAAAATGATTTGTGCATTTTACTTGCATAGCGATTTTCACAATATTCTATGGCCAATAAGAAGATACATGGCTAATGGTTATACCTTAAGTACGAAAATAGAGTCTAAAGTACCATCAAGCTTAAAAAGGACCGGAAGGGTACAATTGTACCTAAATATCAACTATGATACATATTCAAAGTATGTACGTATGTATATAAAAACATAAATTGAGCTGATAATAAGTATTAAATACATATGTATTATATTTCTGTGAAATTCCGGTGGATTTAATAGCTGGCTTCGGCCAAAATATCATGATATTAAGTTTTTGGTGTCCATCACTACCCTCTATTTTACATTAAACTACATTTCAACATATGCTTTTACATACATACATACATACATACGTAGGGTTATGTATAAAAATGCTAACTCCATTTTAGAAAGTTTGTAGCATTGATAAAAAACTCGAAGAGCTCTTTCCTAAGAAATTGAGTGGAGTTGTCATTTTTATACATATACACACATACATATGTACATACATACTTATTTAAGTGATATCGAAAACCTACTTATGTGATCAACATATAAGCCGTTTATGTTGAAATTGACATAAGTTACCAACACTTCCCTGCAAAAATCGCGACTACTCCATGCATGCATATAAAGAGTACTCCTGAAGGACCAAGGAGTACTCCAAAATTAACCACAACTCATAAAAAATATGGTCCAATTAACATTGCGATGTCCTAGGGCAGGACCATATACTCCATCTCTGCATCACATCAGAGTAGCACAAAACTACTCCAACATACTCCAATGACATTTTTGTTATATTTTTTCGTTTGTACACGCTTTTGTCTTTCACTTCACAGATGCTCTTTTTTTGAAATTAATAAAACCAAAAACAAAAATTAAAAATTACATGTTGCCTCTGACGACATTCGAACCCGAAAATGCTGGGAGCTAAGAACTAACAGCGAGCATCTCTACATGTTCAGCTACAGCCAGACATGCAAATGTGCTTTCAAATGCTCAACTTCAATCACATTTCGTTAAAACACGAGCAGTGATCGGGTAACTATAAGCTGGTGCCGAGACACGAGTTGGTCCGCTACAGCATGACAGAGGAACACTTTTGTAAGTACTCCAATATACCACAAATAGACTACATGGTCCAACGATTTTTGCAGGGTTCTTGTGCTAAAGTGACCGGTTACATGAAGCTCAACGCTTCGGTTATTCGTTGAGCTTCACCAACGAAAGGTAAAAGGTTGTGTCATTGGCTTTGTTTCTTTTCTTTTCTAGCAGATAATTATCAGGAAGAAGAAGAATGAGGGAATTGAAAGAATTACGCTCACAGAGAGCGGAATAACGAAAAAGTAAAGAAACGCAAAACTAGCAGAAACTAGCAAGTAATCAGCTGATCGGTGTATTTGACTATTGAAAGTATTTGGCGCGAATTTTTGATTATCCATTTTGACAGCTGCTAGTTTCTGCTAGTAAAAATTTTACTAGCAGAAATTAGCAGGAGAGCCAAAAAAAGAAGAGCGTAAGATCGAGAGAGAGCTGCTAGTTTCTGCTAGTTTTTTGGGTTAAGAAACGCTTTCCAGCAGAAATTAGTGATAATTTGTGATAATTATCGGTTGAGAAACAAAGCTACTAGTTTATGACAATGGAACGATTTACAGATAAATTCGGTTACAAGTAACCGGTCATTTAAGCAAAAGAGGTCTAAAGTAGCTTATGCCACTTACAAAATAAACGGCTCATATCGTGAAAAATATACCTTTTTTTGCATTATAAAAATGTTATTAGAGTGTATGTTAACGGAGGCATGCCTAAAACAAATAATGTAACTCATTCTAAAATTAACCACTTCGCTTTTTACAAAAAGCTCCTCTCAAAAAAAAGACAGATTGAGCAAACAAATGAAAACCAAGCTACACTAACGTGGAACTCTCGCAAGTAATGAAATTAAAAAGAAGTGTTCAAATTTATGTAATGCATAGGAATCTAAATTTATTATAAAGATTTAATACGCATTTACCAACATACATATGAGCTTCATTTAAAAATTTGTATGCAGTACATTTCGTTTAATGTTTTAAACTAGTTTTTTTTGTACCTAATGTTATGATTTGATAAAAATAGCAAATGTGCATACATACATGTGTACATATGTATGAATATGTGTACATACACATATATACTACGTAACTAATATTATGAATTTCATTAACGACTATAAATATGATGTTCTATTGAATTATGCTAGTTCATAGGCTCTACTAGCCCTACTCACTGCAAAATAAAACTGATTACATGTAACTATGTACATACATACATCTATATTTTTTTCTTCTAAATTATTTCTCCTTTTAGTTGTGGATGGACAATACTTTTGATCTAGTTTTTGCATATGCTTACATACACATGTATGTACTTACAATTTGTCGAAATACGTATATGTATGTATGTAAAATTTTTTACCGTAAAAGTGATTTGAAATTCATGATAGTGGCCATTGTACATATCGTTGCTAAACTTTAGAGGGGCCTTCACTGACATTTGTAAATTTTTTGCAGAAGCAAAAAACCAAACCTGCAACTCATACAATTCTGTGCGTAGAGCTTTTTGAAAAGTGTCATAAAACCGCTGGGGTTTAAGTTACGGTTATACAATGTTTAAGGAAGATGAGTTTTAGGATAAGCTACTTCAAAATTCAAAAACCTGTATTTTGAACAAAATGGCCGTTAGGGTCTTT